CTGGCCCGGGCGGCCCGGCCCGGCCCGGCTGCCGCCGCCGCCTCGGCGAGCCCCGCGGCAGTACCCTAACGGCGCTTTCTCCTTGCAGCGTCTTCGAGGGGGAACTCTTCGGGACCATCCCGGTGGTGCACGCCTCCATCGCCGGCTGCCGCATCATCGGCAGAATGGGTGTGGGGAGGGGGCGGGGGCCGGCCGCATCATCGGCAGAATGTGTGTGGGTAGGTGACGGGGCCGCCCTTTGCCCCCGGAGCCTGAGCCCGGCCGGGGCCTCGGGGCGAGGAGAGCCCTGGAGGGGCTCCGGTGGAAGCAGGAAAGCAGTCCCGTGTTCGGTTGGTGCACACTCTGACATACTGTGGGTTTAACTCTGTCGGGGAGTCCAACGGGCGGCACCCTTCATCCTCAGAGTTTTTATTTTAATGCTTCAAGTGCGCGAAGAGGAGGAGTGAAAATGGAGAATCTAAAACTCGCCCAATAATAAAGGGCTGGGGTAGTGGGGAGTGTTTGCCTCTCAGGGCTTGAAGATGGGCTAAAGACACGCGTAAGTCTACTTTCTGGTAAACTGGCAGAAGTTTCGTTTTTCTTAAGGTTAGTGGTCCAGTGCCAGCGCTAGAGGGGCAGAGCCCGGGGAGGAGGAAGGCATTAACAACTGTGAAAATCAAAGAAAAGTCTGTCATCTGTCTCTGGGTAGTGAGACCCTATACAGTCAGACAAACTTCTTGCTTGAATTTTGTTCCTGTGAGAAGAATGTCCATCTTATTGCATTGCCACAGCAAAGTAATACAAACAAGCAGCATCTGTACGTTTTGTGGGGCATTTGGCATCTAGAGGGGAAATTCCTAGTCAAAGTGTTTCATTGAGAACCTCTGGCTTCCTTTAGTTTTGTTGAAAAAGAGAAGTGATTAAAGATAGTGCTACTCTGAGATAGGTCTTTACTTCATCCTGGTGTTCCCTTACCTGTGGTGCTGTGTTATTTTTAAATTCTAATGTTATTTGTCTTGGGCTGAATTCTGGGCTTGGGAGGAGTGGATAGGGCAAGGGCAATTCAAGCCATTATATGAACTTCAGGAAAGTAGGAAGCCCCATGGGAACATTCTTTTTTTTTTCTTTTCTCTTTTATTTTTTTGGTGTCATTTTAGGAAACAGACATGGACTGTTGGTCCCAAGCAGTACGACAGACCAAGAGCTTCAACATATTCGCAATAGTCTTCCAGATTCTGTACGAATTCAACGAGTAGAAGAAAAAAAAGCGTCTGTCAGCGCTGGGCAACGTCACTACCTGCAATGACTACGTAGCTCTTGTTCATCCAGATCTTGACAGGGTATATGGCTCTATAACGCTTTTAAATTCATAGTAGATGCACGTGCGGCGATTGCCAACCTGCAGTTTGGGTTTGTAGTTGTTGAGGATTGCAGTATGTAGCATGGGGATCAGAAGACCTATGCTAACAGCTGAGCTAATGTCACGTAGGAGGCTGTGCTGCCTCATGTTTCCTTTCTTCTCAAGAGAGAAGTTTCAAAATTGGATTTTGGACTTCTGACTTGGTTTCAGTTGATCCGCCTCTTTTCCTATATTTGTCTTTATTTGTGGATGTGGACCCTGCCCCAGGTATAGCGTGTACCCTCTTGTTCAGCATGCTGTAGTGAATGCTCTTTGGAGAAGGGAAGGAGTGGGATATGAAAGTATATTGTCAGGTGCAATTTGCTTTGCGAATGTAAAATTGAATGGATGAAAGAGAGAGTGCCTGTGTGTAATAAAGAGAGTATAAAGAAGAGTTTAGTAAGGACTACAGCAGTAGTTACAGGCTACTGCTGAGCTAGCTGGAATTTGTAGTAGTTGAAGGAGGCCGTGGATGTGGCGGTGTGCATGTTTACAGAGGAGTGAAAGCAAAATGGAAGGTTCTTGTATGAAAGTTTAAAATAACCGTAGAGGAGACAAAGTTGCTGCTACTTTATGTTTGAAAACTGATATCTTAATAGCATTAGAGAGAGGTGTGTTGTGTGGCTACAGGTAGTGAAGGTCCTTACAGTGTTTGCTTTCAGTTTGTGCTAAAGGTGATGAAGTAACGAGACTTGGTGTTAGGAGTGCAAAGGAAAAAAAAAGAGGGGGTGAGGGGAAGGTAATGGTCTTTGCAGTATATTATGTTTTAAATAAGTGTAAAAAGTAAGGTAAGATGGCCAGAGAATCAAAATAATTCACAGTGAAAACCTGGAGGGGAAGGAAGTTCTTAGAGTTTTACAGAAGGATAGGACAATTTTGTCCCAGTGGTCTGGGAGGAGTGGTTCACAGGGAATGCCCAGAGAACAGATATTGACACAATCGATGCACTGCCAACATCCTCCAGAAAGAGGGCAGAAGAACATTTCTCAGTAAAGGCACGGTGTTGTGTTTAGTTATAGTGGCCCAGCTCAGTATACACAGGTAACCGGAGTTACATCTGGAGTATAGAGGTCGAGTAAGCATTTTGTAATGATTGGATTGCAATGGATTGGGAAAGTGTGGGCAGGCTTTCAAAGGGGAGGATCCCCGGTGATGGTTGCGTGCAGGAATAGCTTGACTTCAAATTCTACAGTACTGTTTTGCTGAGGACTTTATTCTCTCTTTCTGTTTGCAGGAGACAGAAGAGATCTTGGCAGATGTACTGAAGGTTGAGGTTTTCAGACAAACGGTAGCAGATCAGGTGCTGGTAGGAAGTTACTGTGTTTTTAGCAACCAAGGAGGAATTGTGCACCCCAAGACTTCAATTGATGATCAGGATGAACTGTCTTCATTGCTCCAGGTCCCACTTGTGGTAAGGCATTTGTGGGTTTGTATTTTCTTTTGCCACTCCCTTTCAACCTAGTTCTCAGTTTTAATGTTTCTACATCTTGTAGGCCCCCTATATACTGTTTTCACTGCAGAGCTGTTGCAAGTGGGAGATGAGAAGACTTGAACAGAGCAAGTCTTCTGAGACGTTTTCCCTGGCTTTCTGAGTCCGAATAAGCTGCTTGGCACCTTTAGTTTGCTTCTGAAACATTGCTCTGCTGGGATTATGCAAGTTGTGCTGATTGATTCATACAGAATGTGAGATTGGCTGTGGTTTGGCCAAAGGCAGTGTTTAAAAAAATTAAGTAATAAAATCCTGCACCTGCTCAATTGGATTTGTGAACTTCACAATTGCTATGCCTTTATGCTTCCTACTTGTTAGATTTTATTTCACTGAATGTCACACAATTTTCTCTCTGGAGATTAAAGGCTGTCCATCAATCTTTTTATCTGAAATCTTTATAACTTTGTTGATGGCAGAAGCTTTAATCTTTTCAGGAGTGTGAATTGAGGCCCTCTGCTAAAGACTACTTGTAATAAGGATGTGTAACGAAACGTGTTGCTGTCAGCATACCCTGTTAACTCTTGTGGCTTTGTTTTTGCTAGGCTGGAACGGTGAATCGTGGCAGCGAGGTCATTGCAGCAGGTCTGTGGGCTGGATACAACCAGCACTGAGCTCTCCGTCATTGAGAGTATCTTCAGGCTGAATGAAGCTCAGCCAAGTACCATTGCTACCAACATGAGAGATTCCTTGATTGACAGGTAAGGATGAGCCAGGTCTGTGTATAATCGTGATCAAAACTGGTAAGATTTTACTATAAAAGGAGCTATTTTCACAATTGATTTATCTTTTTAAAAAAAAAAATTATTAATTTTTTTTTATTTTATTTTTTTACTTCCTCTTTCCTTTTGTTGGATTACTGACAACAATTACCTCATTGCAGAAGGGTTTGTTTCCTTGTAGCTGATGATCCTTCTTAGTCCTTTATGGAGAGGTTTTTGTTGCAGTTATAATACTTGTGAGAAATAGTATCAATTTCAACTTTCAGATACTTTTTTTTTCTAGCTGTTCAGTGCTTAGCTATGACATGGATGGATTTTTTTAAACAAGTCTTGTTTTAAAAGTTAAAATGCCAGTGACTTTGCTTGACATCTTGGCTTTTGATTGTTGTGACCCATAAAATTATTATTTCAAATGCCTGCTACAACCGTTTCTGGAGCCAGAAAGACTTCGGAGCTTGTCTGCTGCTGCCTTAAATCTTTTTAATTTTTTTAAGCTTTTTTTGTCAAAAGCTTTGTCCAAGTTACCTTTTAATGGGAGGCAGGTTTTCTGCCTGGAATGGCAGTGATATAGGACCTTCCCCATTTATTAATGTATGCAGGTTTTTTTACAAGGTTTAGGCGTACATATAGATGAACGTCCTATGCAGACTTCGTTCGGGCTTTCATCTTATTACAACTCTTAGGATCATTGCTGTGGTGCTAGAGGTGTGTTCTTGAGCTATCTCGGCCATTGTAACTTAGTGGCTGAGTTCTCAGTTATCATAAGAATGTATGGGAACGGTTCATGGCATAAGGAAAGAATAAGGAATTCCTTGAACAAAGAACCCTTTGAAAGAGTTCTTTGCTGCCCCCTCACAGTACCTGTCTAAAGGCTTGATGTCTCTGAGCATAACAGAGCCATAATTAAACTTGCTCTGAGCTTTTGATAACTACCTAGACCAGGCTGAGTGTGCATTTTGCCTTTGCCAGCTTGACAAGTCTGTTCTTATGGCTGGCTGTTAGCAGCCACTAAGTCTGCTTGCCTCTTTTCATAGACCCTTATATTCTAAGAAGGGAAATTTCTACTGGGCCTTTGCAATTGGAGGTTGAGAACTGACTGCTGGTGTTTTGAAATGCCTTCTGCACTCTCTGGCACTCATCTGCTAAATCTTCTTTCTGTTTTGTCTTTCTAGCTTGACATGAGCAGTGTTGATTCCTACTTTCCAGAAAGCTCCTAAGGAGTGAAGTGTCAAGCTGCACTGTGGATGACAGACGTCTAGACCTTCTGATGTTGTTTCTGCAGGCCTAGCCCAAGGAAGAGGCTACAAAACCAACTTTTTGTAGTGTTTTGTAAATTAAGTATTACTACAAAAACTGACAAATAACATACATAAGTTACAAATAAGGAATGCTCTCTATCCCTTTGCTGACATTTTCCAGTTCTTCAGCTGTGCTTTCTGGTTTTGTGGTGCTGACTGAGCCCCTCAAACTAGCCCACAGTATTTACTCTTGTGGCTCTTGGATATTGATCACTAGAGATTATTTTACCTTAAATAATGCATTAGTGTTCTGCTGCACAGCAGTCTGCTTCAGCACGTACATGGCACTGCCCTCTCTTTCCACACTCTTGCTAAAGAGTGGTGTTTCTGCTGTAGGTAGACTTAAGAGCCCCTTGTATGTCCAATACCAAAAATATAGTAGTTTACTTGCCACAGAATAATGCAGAAGTCATCACCTGCTCTCTTACCCTGACTTGCAGCTATTCCCACAGGGCTGGTGATTCTGAAGTGATCAGCTCTGATTAGAACTGGAGTTTCTTAAAGTCAGGTCGGGGGCTTCTAACAGCAACAATGTGTGACTGCCTCTGGAACAGTGGTATTTGATCTATTGTCTGCGGATGCCTAGTGATATGTGTGCTGCTTCTGAGGCATCTGCAAGAGAGAGCCTAGAAAAGCATGCTGTTGCCAGTGGACTTAAATGTGTTCTACAGGAGTTAGCCACCTACACTGGAAACTCAGAAGTCAGCAAATCAAAAAAGATTTAAACCGCCTCATCTTGAGTTATCTTGGAGACAAAGGTTAAGTAATACGGTTCTAACCAGTTAGTCCGTTCAGTCAGATGTGACAGATTTGGGAGCTTGCTAATTAAGAGCTCTGCCCTTGTCAGGGAGTGATGATGATGAAAAGGAGCTGTAGATAATACTTTCAAGGTAGAAGACAGTAATTCGATTCTAAACAGAGCTATTGCTCACTGATCTCTCAGTTGCTTTTCTTCTGCTTGCCTGTTAAAGGTGTACTGAAGGCATAGAAATGCCTCCACTTCCCATCCTAAGGGTATGTGGAAGCTTCTCGCTTGCTTCCACACAGCTACATTACTCTCAGCTGGGTTCTCCTGAGGAGTGCTGTGCTGAAGGCAGTATGGGCAGAGCTCTCTTTTGGCCCTGGTGTTTCAGGCTTTGTAGAAAATTGAGTAAACTTCCATTTTTGTTTTACTGCCTGGATGTTTAGGGAAGGCTTTATAAGTTTTGTTGATTAAAGGTTGCTCCTTAAACTTTTAAATTAAGATTGCCATAGGATCTTCTCGGATCATAGCAGTCCTGCCATCTGGTCTGTCTGGAATGGTAACTGAGCCAGGGGCTGCCATTTCCAGACAGCTCACCTTCCTTCTGCCATTGGGGAAGCCTGTAAGCAGCTCATAGCTCCTTGCTACTATGGCTAACAATTTTTGGTGTTTTTATGGCCCCTTTGATACAGTGGACTACCTTTCCTGGCACTCACTGCAGGTCTCCTCCTCTTAGCGTATCTCAGTATTTAGAGTGAGAAGCTGCTTTGCTTTGGCCACCTCACAGGGCTCTGTTCTTAGGTATAAATGGCAAAGAGTCTGACTATTGCTATTGGTGTTAGCGTGTATTTGTCAAGTGTGAAATGATTAAGGCTGAAGTTTTCCTCTCCAACTTCTGTAACTTTTTTTTTTTTTCATTCCGGTTGATAGGCAGGAATCCTGGTTTATATCGCTGATCTTGATGTGTGTTACATGTTAAAAATTGCTTAGAATAAGAACAAAACAAGAACAAAACAAACAAGAAAATTAATCCAGTCTTCGTGTATTCCAAATCCTTAAAAAGGAAAGATACTCGTGCAGTGTTGGGGGTTGTGATATGCCAAAGAGGATTAGAGACAGAGAGCCCACAGGGAAATGGAGGTCTGTTCTGATGTTATTTGTATTTCCGAAAGGCATTTGGCAGGTTTTTATGCCAAAGGCTTTTAAGGACTGTGGGTGAGTGATCCCATGGAATGGGAGGGAAGCCCTTTTATATGCTTGAGGATGGGGGAAAAAGAATAAATGGTTAGGTTTTCCAGGAGTTTCACAGGGACCTCCGCTGGGAGCCACGATGTTCAGCGTTATTGTGTCCTGTTTAGGAAAGGCAGTGGATTAGTGCAGGGAAGTTTGCCCATACTGACTTATTCTGACTAGTAATGGTGGGGGACTGACTGATGGGTTGGTAGAAAGGTAAATTCAGTGCAGCTGAACGTGAAGTGAAGCATATTGTGGTTAAGAATCCAAATTTCACACCTGTAGTGATGAACTCTGAGCAGCACACGAGCAAATTGGCCTGAAGGTACGTATTTGAATAAAGTGTGCGCTCAGTCTTCAGTAACAGTCAAAAAACCAAACAATGTTTCGAGTTAATTAGGAAAAGAAAGCCCAAACAAAGCATCATTATCTGTAAGTCCATGATGCATCTTTATCTTGAGTGCTATGTGTAGATTAGATGCGAGTGTTGTGCAGTGGTTGCCAAGCTTTTCTGCAAATACATATTTTTGGTAATGCCTATCTACTTCATTGTTTGTTAAATTTTGGTTCTTCTGTAAAGTAAAAACTCCGAAAGAAGCCGGGGGAAAGGAGTGAGATTCTCATGCTATTGCCGATTACTTCCCATGAGAACCTGCCTAGCAGTGTCAGAGCTTGCAGGTGCAGCGCCATGAGGATGAGACCGTGAGGACAACAGTGTGAAACAGTAAGGGAGAAATGACCACTGTGGTGGAGCGTTACAGAATGGCAGAATTACAAGTGGCAGGCCCTTGGCATTGCGCAGCTTGAGGCACTTAAAGCACTGGGCAACATTTGATTGACCCTTTTTATGTGCTTTATCTCAAAGGCGGCACTCTCCAGTGGCGATGCCAAAAGAAGGTGTTAAGGAACAGTCAATAAAACCAAGTCGTATGTCCCCAGTGCTGGGTATTGCTACTGCAGGTTCTCAGGATTCTTAAAAATGAAATTGCTGAACTGTGAAGCTGTGGGTTCCATACCACTGCTATCTACCACTTTTGCCATCAGGCAGTGGAAGGCAACACGTGACTTCAGGTATTACAAAGGGTTGCAGGAATGATCTGAGGAACTACAGCTGATTCCAGCTGTGCTGGACAAATAAGTCTGATACTATGAGAAAGGTTGGAATCGAGCTCCGGGATGAATGTGACAGGATGGAGAAGAGTTGTCCAGAGGTTTTGAGGGAGGAATGAATGTCTTCCAACTCAAGGTTCAGTGAGGAAGTCACAGGGTGTGTAGCTTTGGCTGCCATAGTGCGCTTTAATGTCCAAAACCTTTTGTTAGGATCCTTCACAGAGCTTTTTAAAAACCTGAGTCCTCATGGTGTGAGATGGGAGATCCCCTTGAGGTTTAATGAGTAACTGTAAGTTAGGAACAACTAATCCCTCGTACAGTGAAGGACCACCTCTGTCCTGGCTGTAGTGATTGTGTATCCCAGCACATTTCTAACCTACCTGGAAAGTGAGCCTACTTTACTGGTGATGAAATTATTCAAAGTAGTCAAAACCTGAAAAAAAAAATGTAGAATGTGAAGTGCAGTAGAGTGTATGTAGTGGGCTGCTTGGCGGAGGGGCTGCAACTGCTGCACTCAAGGTAAGCCTGTGCCAGGACTCCCCCCGGCTGTACAAACGGCCCGTGCTGCAGGGTGGTGTGTACCGTGCCAGGAGCACACCTAGAAGAGCCTCTCGCTTATGGGATTAGAGTTGAATAAGCACTGCTGTTCCCTGCTCCCCTGTGGTGGCAATATGTCCTGCTGCTGCGTTTCTGGACAGGAACTAGAACGTGGCCACCTGTCCATGGGAGGTGCTTTAGCCATGCTGATGGGACGCACACCGAGTAGATTCTCTGCTGATCAGGTACTGTGTTTTGTAGCATAACACAGGACGATAATGCTGGATCCCAGCAAAGTGCTCAGGTGTGGGAATATTAAGGAATTATCCCTTACACAAATACTGATGTTTGTGCCCAGATCCAGGTCACCCCAGGACTGCACAGGTGCTGATCTTCACAAAAGAGAGATGACAGCGGCGTGAATGGGACCGTACTCCGGGGAAGTGGGTCAACTGCTCACCTACCTGCCCCAGCCCCCTCCAGTGCCAACACTTGTAACTTGAGGGCTGTTTCTCAGCCCCTTAAGCACCTACACAAATACCTCACGCCCCTGGAAAGCTCAAATATGTAACTGCTCCAGGAGCCAGTCATGGAGCAGTTAAAAAAGGCACCAAACTATTTCTCCAGTTCTTTGAAGCAGCAGCTCTTTGAGGAAGGATGAATTCTGGCAATATAGGGCAGGCAGCTTGCCTTATTGCAGTGGGGTGCCTGGCTCCGCGAGGCGATACGCAGCTGTCTGAGGAAATGGCTCAGCTTGCTACAGACGCCAGCATTGTGCTGCCTGCACAGCTTGTTACTCAGTGTAGGGTTTTGAACAGACCAAAAATCTACCTTTGGGCAGGAGGAAAAAAAATACAAACAAAACCAGACATTTCTCTAGGTTGTAAATTTTTTTTTTAATGATGGCTGTTGGAAGTTGCTCAAAGGTTTGGGCTGTCACAGTCTCAGAAGAGTTGGCAGCGTACAGATGAGTTCGATGTGCCATGTGGCTGTGGCGTTCATAGTGTGCATTCTACCACGTATATAGTACACATAGCAACGTACGGAGTAGCATGTGTGTGGGGTGTCTAATCAGTAGCTCCGATTTCATTTGGTCCTTTGCACTCCTTCACCCATCATGAGACGTTATCACATTTGTTCACTAAAATTCAAAGTTTTGCATCTACTAGCTTCTCACTTATTTTGTAAATATGTTTGTAATATTTTTTTTTATGTTTAAACACAATAAACAGCTTGGCTATGGAAATCAATCATGAAGGACAAAATACAGTTTGAGACCACGTGTTATGCAGTCCTAGTGGGCTTCACTAGAAGTATCTATTGCCTATCCTGCTTCACCATAGCAATATTTGAGCACTAGTTAGAAATTCAGAATGCTAATAATCTTCCTGCTTCTTCATTCCTCATCACTGTAATTGGGAATAGTTTTAACGTGTTTGTCATCATTGGATTTTTTTTTATAGCTGACATTATAAAGCTGTACTTTTTGTATACTAACTGGACATTCTGTGCGTTGCACTTCCATTGCACTGAAGAAAATTCAGTTATAGGCAG